AATTATGTTTGTTTTTAATTTGCTTTATAAACATGAAAATCCCTTTCGCTTTCTCCCGTCGCCCTGAATGAACCCAAAGTGATGCTCCGGATGGATGTATTAACATGTCTCAGGAACAACACCGGATACACAGTTAATGAAAAATGATTACAGTATACCGCTTGTGATATATCCCCGTCCAGGGCTTCATGCCAAGTCAATTTGCAGTAACTGTCAGGGGGCGAAAGTAACGATGGGTATTGACAGCTTGACCGATAGTTATGAGGTAACCGCTGGTAGGCTGGCCTTGCTCGGTAGGCTGACCATGCTAACACGCTGGGCATTGTGACGAGCTGGGCATAGTGGTGGACTGGATATGCCAGGTACTCAGAATAGGACTCCCAAATGGGCATACCGCATCACGTGCTGAGAGGTCATGCTAAGCCGAGAGTGGGTAGCCAATTTTAGCACACTGCGCCCCGAAAATAGTACACATCGGAGTAAAACATCAAACTATACTGTGGATTTAGTCCGTTACGTGTAATAACGCCGATTTCAACATTCGAGGTAAAATACTATACATTATGTACCTTAAGCCTTTTCTCTTTCCTCTGACACGCATGCTTAACGCAGGATGAAACTTATCTGTCACTTTTACACACCAGCCTCCTCCTCCGCCCCTCCGTCGTCAGCTGTTGGTGGGTAGGCCTACACAGTGACCGCTCATCATATGCTAGAATGATGAGCAGGCCCTCAGTATGACCGCCTCGTAAACTATTTAGGAAGAGGCGTCATGGTGACCGACTGAAAGCCCGCAGAGGGAGTGTGGCATTATGAGATATTTGCCCATTTTCACTCCCGGAATGCATTTCGTGTTATGAATGATTTCTACATCGTATGCGTAACTTATGGCTGGCCTGTCTCACTCACTACACTAATATCGGTTGATGCAATAGATGGCTATAGAAGAGTTCGATCATACCACTAAGACTCTTTCCTATATAAATGGAAAGGAATGGGATTAATAAGCAGTTACTGAAGCAAATACACTACACATTTTTTCCTTCAAAGCACCAAAGGCTAATAGGAGAATTAACACCGTGGTCACCATCCAGTAATGGGCGTATATGCTCCATTCAGAAAGTCAGCGTGCGTAACTGCGTCTATTTTCCGAACCAATTCGTGATTAACATACACACGCACGCACACGCGCATGTAGGGCTGGGCCAGGTCGGTAACCGTAGTTGGGGGCGACGCTCTCGCGCTTGGCCAGAGTTGTCCGGAACGCTGAGCTGTAAGGACGTTCCCTGACCCCGCTCGTGACTCGTCGCTACCTCGCTTGTCACGCCGCCGTTACCTGTGAACCCGTGCTGCTTTTGCTACCCGCCGGTGTTGTCTCCTTCTGAAAACGGAGTGACGGCAGTGCTACACTCTTACCTTGCTTCACTGTTTTGGATTTTGTTTTCACGAGATTTTGGATACAGTGACCGACTCCGTGCCGAGTGGTTCTTGAGTGTCGGCTAAAGAACTCGCGAATCATGGGTGAGATGTGCGTGGACGACATCGTCAGGGATCAAGTGATGGCTCTGCCGAGTGTTCTCAACTACAGAATCTGGTCCTCAGGGCCAAGGAGTGCCCCCGGCTTGCCTATCAGACGACACCAAACGAGCAAGTTGAGGAAGAACTTGTTTGGCCCCGTCGACCACAGCGAGAACTTGAGATTCGTGCACGAGGAACTTGAGAAGATCACGAAGGAGGATTCCGAGCGCTGGAACTTCGACTTCAAGACCGAGCAGCCCAAGGAAGGCCGCTACGAGTGGGTGGCCGTCGGAGAAGGTGCCGCGAAGACGACTCCGGCGCCACAGCTCACCTGCCTCACTGCGAACAATGTCAACGTGAAGTCCGTGAAGAGGCTGAGCGCAAGCCCGCCCTCCAAGATGCGACAGAGACTCTGCACGGATTACTTCAGACTCAACAAAGCGACGAAACCCAAAGGCAAGAGCGAACGCAAGACCGAAAAGGAGATCGTCCCCTCGAGAACGCCCGAAAAGAGAAGTGCAGTGGCGATTAGATGAAAAAGAAGTCACAATAAGTGGTTACTGGGAACACCAAACGGAATGAGAACTACACGAAAAAGGAAAGAAAGGACGTGATACAGCAATGCAGTTTTTTTTACACATTGCATATCAGAATTTTCGTAATGGTGTTGCCAAGAACAGCAAAATAGAGCTTTAATTCCACAAAACATGAATTTATAAAAAAAAACGAAAAAAATAACCATCAAGTGCTTTATCAAGTGATATTAGATACTAAACTACAACAGAAATTAAACATTCGACGCCTGTATATGCCCTCAAACGCAAACGCAACCAGTTCTTCAAGATTTACAAGAAACAAACCACACTATAACAGGAATATAAAATGACGTTTCTGGACTGTATGAGACACCGCTCTTCTTTAATGAACTTCTTTAAGCGAGATGTTGAACAAGGCACGAGAGGAAATGTTCATAGTGTCTGTA